CGGGGTCTTCCCCCGCTGACCCCCGGCCCTGGAGCCCCCCGTCGGTCCCCTGTGGGCCCCTCTCAGCTCCCCCTCCCCCAGGTACCTCAGGGTCAGGTCCCTGGAGAGCCTTCCTCCAGCCCAGCCTCACTTTACTGCTTTAATTTGGCTTTATTTTTAATTATCCGGCGCTCCCCAGGTTCCCCTCAGCGCAATCCGTCAGGTTTCAGCGCCGTTCGAAACACCACAAGCCCAAAGATCGCACACCGGTCTGGATGTGCTTCTATTTCTGTTAACCTGGGAGGGAATTGTGCATATTTGGTTGTTAAAGAGGTGGCTTATTCTTGGGTTTTGGTGAGGGAAACGGGTTATTCTTGGGTTTTGGTGAGGGAAACGGGTTATTCTTGGGTTTTGGTGAGGAAAACGGGTTATTCTTGGGTTTTGGTGAGGAAAACGGTTTATTCTGGTTTTCCTCTTTTTGGCAGCATTTAAAGCACGCTGGGGTTTATTGTATTCCTTGTGGAGAGAGAACTTTTTTTTAAAAAAATGTAAAATAAACCCAAAGTCCTGAAAACGGAAGATTGAATATGGGGGAGGGGGAGTTGGGACACAGCATCTTATTCTTTAATTCTTTCCTTTAAAAAAATCACAGAATTTCAAGCCTTTGCTCTGCCAGCAGAGTGATAAAATGTCAGCAGAGAGTTGCGTGGATGGGAAATAAGGGAACTGCTGCACGCCACGGGATTTCTTCCACTTCCACTGCCTGCTGTCACCTCCCAACTCAGTTATTGCAAAGGAGGGGGTCTTGCCCTGGCATGGCCGTGTGCCCCCGTAGTGCCCCATGACTTCAAGGTGGTCATCCCAGAGTGAATCCTGCTGGGTTCCCTCGTCAGAAAGAGGGAAGAGCGTGAGCGTGGTTTGCACCGCCGTGGCAAGGCAGGTTCGGTTGTCGAATCTCTGGCTACGTGGATAACGTGTATCTGCTATACATGTGAAATTAGCTCCACTGGCAGACCCAAGCAGATGCTACTTTAGGAGACCCATGGTGGGGTTATTCCGTTTTGAGACCAGATCTTCAGCTGCAGCAAACGAGCATTGCCCAAAAGCAGTACAGCAGCATTTGGATCAGGTCTCCGAGCCATCCTTCCACCCGCAAAGGTTAAAAAATAAGACTGAAAGGGAGACAGCTCCTGTAGGAAGCTGCCACGATGAGCCCAAACACAAGGAAAGCTCCAGGATCTGATCAGGCATTGGTTGACTTTTTTTTTTTTTTCAACACAAGCAGTGATTTATCTTTTACTAATACTTTAAAAAATGAGCTCTCTCGATATTAGTCTCCCGTGAAGTCCCCAGTAACGCTGCCTTCCTCCTTGCTGAGCTCTGTGCAGCTTTTCTGTTCAAGCTCTGCCTACGTTTTCCTCCCAACCCACCCATTTATTGTTCTTGTGAGCAGCTGCATTCGTGCTTCCTGCCACAATGCCCTGAGTGAGTTTCTACTTCCCTTAATTGTATCTGCTCAGTTCCTCCTCTCTCCACTTTGAACTTTTAAGAAACTTCTACCAGGTAGCCTGTCGTGGAGACGTCTTTTTTTCTTCCTTAATTTCCTCCATGGCCTAGAAACGGGCACGTCTCTTATTTTCTCTATATCAGCCAAGTTGGGCCAACCAGTTCTATCCACCTGCAGGAAGAAGTTTCTATATTCATCCCTTTTTTATGTTGTAACAAAAAGTCTGGGTCCTGGCTGTGTGTGATATCATCAGAAGTGAGATGTGGAGGGGTAAACTGCATGAGTATTTAACTAGAATTTAACTAAAATTTAAGTGCAAAAATGTACTTCTGATTGCAGATATTTGAATTTCTTTTAATATATTTGTTTTGAAAGATGGTGATCTTTAGTGCCTCAGCATAGTAATGCAGTAGGTGCTGTGCTTTGTGTATGTTTTGAATATTAACGTGCTTTAACACAACATCGAAGAGCTGTAGTCACGGACTAGAACTCCCTTTTTAGAGGATTTTTAAAAGGCAGAATTTAGCCTTTGCTCTGCTCCTGCAATTAAGTATGAAAAGAAAGCAGGAGGTGGAATTTAATGAGGCTGTTCTGGCAGTGCAGCATTGTAGAGAACAGGACAGACGAGGAGATGCTGCTCTGTGCAACTTCTTATTGGGAGGGTTTAGTAGAGAAGATGGAGCCAGACTCGTCCCATGGATGCATGGTGAGGGGACAAGAGGCAACGGGGACAAGCAGGAACGTGGGAAACCTTGGTTAGATGGAATTTTCTCTTTTTCACCATGAGTGTGATCGATCACTGGAACAAGGGACCAGGGAGGCTGTGGGATCATTCTCGTTGGAGGTGCTCAAAACTCAGCTGGGTGAGGTTTTAAACAACCTGCTTTGAGCGTGGGGTTGGGCTCGAGACCTCTTCCAGCCTGAATTCTTCTGAGATCTTCTGCGATAACATGCATGTATCTTCACTGGTGTGACTCTCTTGTTTCTCACAACCCAGGGGAATGACGATGACCAGCCTTCTGCCTTCAGCAGGGGACGGAAACTGCTATTACATCCTGACAGAAGACTGTGCCTATGGCAGCAAGTACTTCCAAGCTGGGAACATGTGCTTCTGCAGCGAGAGAAGTTACCTGCGCAACTTCTCCGATGACAGGCCCCCGGCTTGCTTCTTGAAAGTCATCATGCTGGATGACAGCTCCACCGTCACGATAAATGTAGAAATCCTTCAGCCTGTGCGCGAGGAGGCGGCTGTCTTCCTCCTGGCCATCAGCAGTCACAACGAACGCTTGAACTACTTCTTGGAGAGGTTGAGCCTTGAAGCAGCTCTGCGGGCCGTGCCGGGCCAAAAAGTGATGGTGGAGGTTGACCGGCAACATCTCCCTGGTGTCATCCGCTACATCGGGAGCATTTACAAAAACACTTCGGCTGTGCTGTCTCCGTTCTTCTTCGGGGTGGAGTTACAGGTAAAGTGGCCAAGAAAGTAAGTTGCTTATTTTCCCTTTGTGTTTGGGTATGTAACGTGCCTTTCTGGTGTGTTTTCAGGGTGAGGGAGAAAACAGAGGGCGCAGCGATGGATCTTATCACGGCACTGAGTATTTTAAGTGTAAGCGGAACTGCGGGATCTTCCTGCCATTTAGCAGAGTCCAGTTTACTCCCATGCCGGACGAGGACTACGTGAAACAGAAGCCAAAACCGGACATGGAGGAGGAGGTTCCTGTGAAAGTGGGAGATGCTGTTAGCTTCTATGTGGATGAGGTCCTCACAAAAGGAATAGCGATGGCAGTTTACAGGGAAGGAACCCAATGGTTCGTTAAAGTTTGTCCGGTAAGAGCAGCATTTCCGCCTTTTCTTGGGTTTGGGGAATTTTTTAAAAACTATGTTATGGTGAGACATTAAAGAGAAGTGGAAGGAATGTCCAAAAGGGACATAAGGTTACATGCAAACTTTCCAGGCCTGTTTGAAAAACTGGTTCATATTCCAGGAATGCCCTATGTCTGATAAAGCATTTAGCTGATAGATTTTTCACTCCTTTCAGGAAGAAGAAGGAACAACTGACATTTTCAGAGAAATCCCTATGGACTCTGTTGTGAAGGAAAGCTTGCAAAGTAGGTTATCATCAGATGTGTCTGCCCTGTGTACGTTCCTGGGGATTTAGCATTTATTTCTTCTCTGCAGGCTACTGATGAGCTGAAAGTCCAACAAAAGCTTCAGCTAGTCCCAACTTAGTTGATCAGGAGACAGAGAAGGTCCATGGAAAAGTCTCAAGTTCTGGACAAAATTCTTTGCATTAGGCAACTAAAGCTGAGTCTTCCCATTTGTCAGGAAGAAGAGAGAGTGTGATTGCAGTGCAGAAGTAATTCCTAGGGGAATTACTGGTTAAAGAGTCTTTAATTTAGCTGTAGAAGATGGAGCAGGAGCCTCATCCTGATGCCAGACAAACTCAGAGATGCACAGGTGCCAGCAGCGATGGTGTGCCTCATTGGACAGGACAAGAAATTAGTGGAATCTCTCTGTTGCCATCAAAAGACACTGTGCAGCTGTCACGGCTGGCCCTAGGGGAGCCATCATTAGACTCTTCACCGAATTGATTCATCTCACTAAAGGCAGAAAAATAATTTGGAAGTAACCCCCCGCTGCTGTTTCAGTAGTCCAAAATGGCTCTGTGAAGGGCTGCATTAGCTCCAGGGCCAGCGAGAGGCTGGAGCATGCAGCGTGAGCGGGGAAACGAGCAGGATCATCCCCTCTCAGCCTGTTAGACCAGCTTGGCCGTATCACTGGGAATTACACCTTGTGTCTCTGTTGCTCAGCTTCATGCTTGGGTGTGTGGTCTTTAATTTCAAAATAGACCTGGTATTAGATGAGATCCAGAGGTGTCTGTCATTAGGTGTTGACTTCCTACCTCACCTGAGATTTTGTATTGCCCACTAGGTTTATTTTCACCGTTCGAGTCTGACATGGGCTTGGGACACCCAAACCAAATGAAACGAGAGATAAGTGAGAGTGGTGAGGAGTGCGAAAGTGGGAATTCATCCCTGGAGGTGAACTCCATGGTCCAGATCACCTTGGACAAGGGAAACCAGGTTTCGGGAATCATCCGCTGGTTGGGCTACCTGCCCCAAATTAAGCACAAAATGGCAGGAGTTGAACTGGTAAGGAGCAAAATATTTCCTGCTGTGAGATTGTATATAAGAACAGGCAGGTCTTGGTTGCTCTTCTCTTTTAAGACCTTCAGCTTGTGGCTGTGTATCTCACAGCCTGACCTGGGCCTCTGTCATGGTTTAACCCCGGCCAGCAACTAAGCACCACGCAGCTGCTCACTCACTTCCCCCCTCACCCAGTGGGGTGGGGGAGAGAATCAGGGGAAAAAAAACCCTAAAACTCATGGGTTGAGATAAGAACAGTTTAATAGAACAGAAAAGAAGAAACTAATAATGATAATAATAACAATAGTAAAATGACAATAATAATAATAAAAGGATTGGAATATACAAGTGATGCACAATGCAATTGCTTGCCACCCACTGACCGATGCCCAGTTAGTCCCTGAGCTGCGATCCCCCCAACCCCACTCCCCCCAGTTTATATACTGGGCATGATATCACATGGTATAGAATACCCCTTTGGCCAGTTTGGGTCAGCTGCCCTGGCTGTGTCCCCTCCCAGCTTCTTGTGTCCCTCCAGCCTTCTTGCTGGCTGGGCACATGAAGCTGAAAAATCCTTGACTTAGTATAAACACTACTTAGCAACAACTGAAAACATCAGTGTGTTATCAACATTCTTCTCATACTGAACCCAAAACATAGCACTATACCAGCTACTAGAGAGAAAATTAACTCTATCCCAGCTGAAACCAGGACAGCCTCTGATGTATCAGAGTGTGAACTGTGAGGGCAACGACACAATTGTGCCCTTCCTTAGGCTGGGGAGGAGAGCCAGCGGCATGATTATGAGGGTTGGTTTGCTCTCTTCAAGAGCAGTGTTACTGGTATGTGGGATGGAATAATCATGAATCCTACAAGCAGCATCAATAGGTTCAAAACATAACCAGAATAAATGAAAACAGTCAACAAAATGGGACCAAACGTGTATACAGCTCTTAAGATATTAAATGGCCATATGGGGGATCATGGAAATTTTCTTGGAAAGCCTGCTCTCATGCTATTCCTCAATGCTTTTTTCCCAGGATGAAGATAAGGGGGTCACTGCTGGCGAATGGCTGGGCAAACACTACTTCCACTGCGCTCCAAAGCGTGGCCTCTTCGTGAGGCTGCAGTCCTGCCAGCCCGATGTTCGCTTCCAGTGTTCACACAACAGTGAGCTGAGCCTCATGGATTTTACTAAGTTCTCTGGGGAGAGGGGAGACGGGGCTGTGCTGGGACAAGGCACGCTACGGAGAAGCCTCATGCACAGTATCTTAATCAGCAGTTTAATATTCTTCACTTTCTTTGAGCGTTCCAAAAGATGTCAGTTTTAAGGATGCTGAAGTTGCCATGATGGTATTTATAGGGAATGCCCCACAAGTGAGAGAGATGGTAAGCAATTTATTACAGGGATAATGTAGACTAGGACATTGAATATAGGGCAACGTATTGTGAGTGGCTCTAAAAATGAGGCCTCGGTGGCACAGATGTGTTGGAGAAGGGGAAGCTGGCAGGAAGTGTTGGGGGTAACAAGAGGATAGAAGTCCAGAGCAACAGTCTTTGCAAGGCATCACGAATGCTGCAAGCAAGACAGGGATCTTCTGCCTGTGGTTTTCGGGGCAGACGAAAAGGTCTTGTGTAACTGAGACTGGAATATAGGCAAGTGTTTTAGCTATAGGGTCTGGCATAGCTACTGTATGTTAAATGTAGACATCACATGTGGCTTTGGAGAATTGGAGTGGGTAGCTCAGGCCCAGGGCCAAGACATCAGGTGATAACGGTGTTGCACCTGGGGACTGAGAAATAAAAGTGAGCTTGGAAAGGGAGAGAGGATGAAATAAATTTTAATGTAGAGCTCGATGCGATGATACGACATTCACAAGAAGATGCGGGGAAGAACAGGCCAGTATTTTCATTTGAACAGGAAGAAATTCCTCCAGCACAGAGAAGACAGTGTGAACTAGCCGTTTAGAAACTGTAAATGAGATCACTGTAAATGAGAAGACAGGATTCCTGTAGGGACTGTCCAAAAACTGGGAGAAGGGACAAGACAGAATGTCTTAAGGACATGCTGAAGAGAGGGGATTGAATTACAAGTGGAGAATGCTGAAGAAACCAGGAAGGACCAGACTGAGAAAGCCACCTTTGACGCTTAAGGAGATGACAGGCCAGCGGGATGAGGCTATCAAAGCACAGTTGCCTGTTTGTCCCCTTGCTAATGGGGTCACAGGTCTCTCAACAGAGAGATCCCAAGCTTGCATATAACACAACACCAGCTTGTTTGTAGCTCTTTTGGTCTTCGTTATACTTGGCATAACGATGGCAGAGGCGGTATGGATTGCTAGGGCAGGTCTGTGCTGAAGAAGAGATGGTTTGGTTTTTGTCTCCATTTCCAGTAGATGAATTGCTGGAGACAAATCTTCATCTCAGCGTGGTTGAGTCCCAGCAGAAGCAGTGCAGAAGAGTGTGGTGCTGACTTCTGAGCAGAGCAGACCTCTGGGGCATCAGAGAAAGGCAGAGCTGACTCAGATGAGGTGGGAAGCTAAAGAGAGTTGCTTCTGTTTCTTCTCTTGCAGGAGGGCAAGAAGTTCTTCCACAGACTCCAGACAGTTTTCCTCCCCTCAGGAACGAGGCAGCAGTGCGTGTCCTGCGAGGGCGGATGAAGGGGATCCAAGGCCATTGTAATTCCTGCTATATGGACGCAGCTCTCTTCAGGTAAGGACCTGGTTGAGTGGTGCCATTCCATTAAATGAGTGCTTTTTCAGTTGGGCAAAGCCCTAAACCACAGCATTTCCCTGGATTTCTGAGGTGGCTGGAAATTAACCCAGTATAGAGCAGAATGTGTGGAGATGCAGCCTTGATGCTTGCTGCTTTTTTATCTCCTTCCTAATCTGGTAGGTTCTCAGGCCCTGAAATACCTCTCAGGAGTACCTGAGGTACCCGTGTGTCTGTCATGCAGGGCGGTGAGAGATTGTAGCTCTCTGGACTTGGACCGTGCTGACTGTTACTGGAGGTAATGGCTGGAAGTATTTCAAAGAAACCGCCCAGGAGATCCCAGCTTCACTGTGCAGCACTGTTTGGAGAGGAAAAGACTCGGTGGTGCCCCCCCATGAGCAGTTTTGGCTGCAAAGTACGAGATTTCATTCTCTCTGACCTGCTCCCTTGCTTACTACCAGTGTTCATTAAATAAGATGTGGTTTATCTCACTCTGGAAACACACCGTCACTCACCTTTCTGTAATTGCATGCATGGGCTGTTGAAAGCAAAAGCCACCGACTGTCACCAGGCACAATGGTTTGGTTCTAACGCTGCAAACCCATCAGACTTACACCCATCACACTCTTTTCACAGCCTCTTCTCCTGTACGTCCGTGCTGGACTCCATGCTCTTCAAGCCCTTCCCGCTGTGTGACAGGAACGTCCAGAGCATTCTGAGGGATGAGATTGTTAATCCCCTCCGAAAGTGAGTATGCTGTGTGGGAATCCTGGAAGTGGTCCATCTGCCTTCATACCTTCTCTGCTGCCCTACCAGATGGTACCTATCACTGAGGGAAAGGATTACCTGGAGGGTTTCTCCTGCCAGCCACATCCAAAGGTCTTCATACTGGGTTCCTCTTCCATTTGTTCCTTTCCCTGGGTTGTAAGGCTGTCACAACTCCTACTGCATGTGCATGAGTATATCCTGCTCGGAAGGAAGCCTTGTGAGCTGACTTCTCAGTGAAAGGAAGAAAGGGAAATTCCTGGGGTTCAGACCACCTCTTGGGAGAACCCTGGTGTTGATGAAGCAGTGGCATTGCCTTCATCAGCAGTTAGTCCCAAAGGCAGGATGCAATGCCAGGCTGGATGAAGGTAGACTGTGGCATGAGAGCTAAATTCTCTGGAATTTATATCAAAGAGACCAGGTTCTTTCCTCATCCTCCCTAGAGGGGTGTGGAGGAGAGGCATGGAGAGCTGATCGAACATAAGATATTAGCATCTTCCTTGAAGACCAGTGTCCTGGCACTGGCTGCAGAAATACAACCCTGAGGCATTCTGTGATGCTGAGATTTGACAGCAGCCCTGCAGAGAAGGACTTGGGGATGAAAAGTTGGACATGAGCCAGCAGTGTGCGCTCACAGCCCAGAAAACCAACCGTATCCTGGGCTGCATCCAAAGCAGCATAGCCAGCAAGTCCAGGGAGGGGATTCTCCCCCTCTGCTCGGCTCTGGTGACACCCTCCCCTTGGAGCACTGTGTCCAGCTCTGGGGTCCCCAGTACAAGAGAGACACGGACCTGTTGGAGCGGGTCCAGAGGAGGGACACAGAAATGGTTTGATGGATGGAACTCCTCTGCTATGAGGAAAGGCTGAGAGAGTTGGGGTTGTTCAACCTGGAGAAGAGAAGGCTCCAGGGAGACCTTCTTGCGGCCTTTCAATATAGAAAGGGGGCTTCTAAGAAAGACAGAGAATTTTTAGCAGGGCTTGTAGTGACTGGATAAGGGGTAATGGTTTTAAACTGAAAGGTTAGATACAGATTGGCTGTAAAGAAGAAATTTGTTAAGATGAGGGCGGTGAGGCACTGGAGCAGGTTGCCCAGAGAAGTTGTGAATGCCCCATCCCTGGAAGTGTTCAAGGCCAGGTTGGATGGGGCTTTGAGCAACCTGGTCTAGTGAAAGATGTCCCTGCCCATGGCAGGGGGGTTGGACTAGATGATCTTTAAAAGTCCCTTCCAACCCAAACCAATCAATGATTCTATGATTTAAATACACTGGAGAGTTCATCTGCGGCTGCTGTTTGTTTCTAGGACTGGCTTCGTCAGGGCTAGGAGTGTGATGCACCTTAGGGAGCAGCTAACTGAAAAGGGCCAGTGTTCAAGTTTTACCAACGCTGAGAAAGGTAATGTGCTCTCTGGGGCCTTCCCCGGGCTGCTTTGCTGTGCGCTGCCTCATCCAGGCAGCAGGCTGACAACTTAATTGTGTGCTTCTTCCAGGCACATACATTAATATGCCTGCTGTGCTGTTCATCGATGTAAAAATGCAAATGTAAAATACTTTCAGCTTTTAAAACTCTACAGGCTTTTCAACTGAAATTTGTCCTGAAGTCTGATGGAAGGATGGGAATTGCTGGGTCTCTATCTGATGGCAGCTGTTGCCAGGAGGGGAGAAAAAGATCTGTGTGAACAGAATTTAAACGAGGGAAATTTCCTTGACCTTTATACTTTGAGTTATACCCTGATAAGTCCATCCCTGATGTCCTTGCTAGAATCCAGCTTGATTTGTCATTTTGCCAAGATCAACATGTCTTTGAGTTCTGGCAAGTTATTTGAGGTTCTTCGAAGACCATAGTCTGATTAAAATAAGTCAGAAAACACCTACAGCTGAAAACCACCAATCTCTGGTTGCAATCACCACGTTCCCATCCACGCACAGCAAGGCCCCATGTAGTTTACGACAAGGAAACGGATTACACCAATGCCAAACATCACTGCAACAACCTCTAAGTACCTGGATACTAAACAAGTGGCATTGATTCTTCCAGAAACAGCAGGTATCTTGTCAGTGAACAGCACTTGTGTTTTGTACTATTGTATATTTATTTTAGCCAGGGATAGTTCAGCTGTTCACTTTCTTGAATTTCCATAGCTGTCCCTGATTTTACTTTGAGTTTATACTTTCAGTGTTAGCAGTAACTGTCAGTTAAGGTCTCTGAGATAATGTTGCTGTGATGGCCTGGCTTGTAAGAGTGTAGTGTCTGAAGGCTGGTTTGCATTTTTCATGCCCACCTTAGGATTTGTGCATTAACCAAGTGCTCTCACCTTTTAGCCCAACCATCCCCTTACCTAGAGTAAAAGAGGAGATTCCAGGTTCACAAAATTGCTGGCTCATGTTTATCTGGCAGCTTTTGCCATCCAGATGCAGTGGGGCAAGGCAGCGTTCCTGGTGTAGTGTGACCCATGCTTTTCTCTCACCTTCTAGATCCTGAGGAATTCCTCAATCTCATAATGCATCAGATCCTGGGAATAGAGCCACTCCTGAAACTGCAGTAAGTTTCCATATCTAAGCAATACAATTTACCCAGGCCAGGCTCATTAGTTATCCACCTCACTGTCACCAGGTGTTACTTGCACCTTTTCATCGAGGGTTTGGAGGCACAGCTCAGTGAGTTGTGTGCAGCTCCTCTCTGCTGTCCATGTGATCTTATTTGTTGTGATCTTGTCCCAGGTGATGCATCCAGGAAAAAACACTTCTAAACTCTCCCTGGAGGTGCTGCCTTCAGAAAAGGATAAAAACTTTGTCTCATCCTTAGGGAGAACCAGCAGTGGTTTGAGAAGTGTAGTGTCCAACTTCAGTGCAGAGCCAGCACTATCTGACAGCCTTTGGATGCATTTGGGATGTGTCCAGACTGTCAGGCTGGCTCTGGTCCTGCAGCCTCTCAAACAGGGAGTCCATGGATGCAGTCCCAGTTTTTCAGGACTCTACAAAGAGGATGAGAGGCTGAAGGAAGCCAAAAATAACTGTGCTGTTCAGAAGCATAGAAGGGGATTGTTCGGTTTCTGTGCTCCTTTGTTGAGACGTCAGTCAAGCCATAGATTGTGGAGTAGTCGGAAAGGCTGAGCACAAAGACAACTCTGTACTGCAGCTCCCCTGCAGAGGGTCATCTGAAGGAAATCCTTTCTCTGCTGGCTCAGGGATGTAGGGGTTGTGGGAGATCTTCTGCACACAACTCACCTTTTGAATGCACCAAGTTTTGCTCTGTGGCTTTTGTATATGCAGTTATAAATAGATCTTTCATCTGAGAAGGGAGTTTGCCGATTGTGCCATGGTGCAGTTGATTTAAAAAATATTGAAGTCTCTTAATATTTACATCAACGAGGGGAAATTGAGTTTTGCTTATAGGAGCAGGATGTGATGCTGTGGAGGCATAATGAGACTAAACATGGTACTTGTATCCTCTTCTCACGGCACGTATTTAGTATTTCTGGGTGGAAAAACTGCTTCGTGTCAGTGTTGCACCAAGCAGCCCTTGGTGCCTTGGGCCCAGAACTCTTGCAGGACAAAACCGGTATGTCCTCTGGGAGCTCAGATGTTTGTGGCACCATGTAAACAAGCCCCGTGACCACTCCTTGCAGGTCAGGAGGCCAGAAGGAGCAAGACTGTTACTGTTACCAGATATTTATGGACAAACAGGAGGATCTGGTGGTTCCCGACGTGCAGCAGCTAGTGGAACACTCCTTCCTGTCCTCTGATCTGAAGCTAGTGGAGGTGAGCCCAGCTACCTTCCGCCTACGCTGCTATCTGCTGCCTCTTTCTTGCTTCCTCCAATGTACCTGTGCCTGCCAGTGAGTGTGCAGTGGGTCTAGTATGTCCTATATCCAACAATGCAAAGAAGCAGGATACGGCCACAAGAGAGACATCTTGAAGAATCTGAGCATGACCTGGGAAGAGGGCTATGCTTTCCCTGTTGCCGTTTTGTCTTGTGAATAACTGGAGCAGAAAGCCTTTACTCCCAGCAGCAATAGGGAGAGAAGAGTCTCTGGGGCTTGTCTCTTCTGGCAGGGTGACTCCTTTGCCTTTCTTTTCCCAGATCCCGTCTTGCTTCATTATCCAAATGCCGCGGTTTGGGAAGGAATATAAAATGTTCAGCAAAATCATTCCTTCGTTGGAGCTGGATATAACAGATCTGCTGCTTGACAGTAAGTTGTTGGGCAGTGGTAAAGCTGCCAGCTGGGACTGCAAGCAACCAAGTGACAGGTCTCGCCTCTTTGGGTTGTGAGCAGATTTATGGTGGGATCATGGTGTGATTCTTCTTTCCTGAGCACCAGTTTTAGCGGGACAAGTTGGATTTCAGGTGAGATCAGGAGAAGACACATCCTCTCACCCCTGTTGCCCCCACAGGTCCCAGGGAGTGCTGCATGTGTGGCGACGTTGCCACCGTGGAGTGTTCAGATTGTTTCAAGGACAAGGTATTCGCAGCTACGGGCTTGAAGCAGTTCTGCAGTTCCTGCTCCAGACAGGTATTCAGTTTCTTTGGCTGCTCACAAAATCTGCCTTGGTGGCTGACAGCAGATCGAACCCCCCAAAATACCTGTGTTTCCCCGGCTGTCCCTGCAGCCATTCAGGTTGGGCACAGAGGGTCCCCTTCCTGAGCATCAGTCCCACCGCCCGCATCAGCTGCATGAGCGGGGTTAGGTGCTGCACATAATTGAACCCTCTGCTTACATAGAGCCTAAATAAGGACTGATCGTGCACAGACGGAGTGCTGGGCCCTCCACGCTGTCTGGCCTTTCTTGGAGGGTGACAGACTGCCGTCTCAGCTTCTTGCTGCCAGGCTGTTGACACAATGCCATTCCCTGGCATGCAGAGACCACGGGGGTCAGATCAGTGGGGAACAAACTGGGGGTCTGACCCTTGCACGCTCCTCTTTCTGGCAGGCCAAGTTCAGTTCTGCCCGCTCAGCAGTGCCACCCCATCATCTCTCCTCAGGTTCACTCCCACTACCGACGCAAAATGCACAAGACAACTAGGCTGCACATCCCAGAAGAGTTTCACAGCCGGAGCCCCCGGGGCAGCCAGCAGGTCCCTCGTGAGAAGATGGAGCTCTTTGCAGTGCTCTGCATCGAGACCAGTCATTATGTCTCCTTTGTGAAATACGGCCCCGAGAACGAACACTGGATGTTCTTCGACAGCATGGCTGACAGGCATGGTGAGGACATGGTGGTGGGCTCGGAGCTTTGATCGCAGCCAGGCGCTGCACGGTGGGCAGCTGTGAGGGTCTGCAACGCTTGTTGCGTAGATGCTGGTCAGTCGATCTTTTCTTCTGAAGCCCCCTACATGATTTAGGCTCTCTCTAGACCCTGTTTCCAACAGTGACCATTTAAGTAGACCCCAGAGAAGAGTATGGCCAGGCCAAGCACGTGTGAGTTCCTCCTAGTGCTTTCATCCTCTGGCTGTGTTCACACAAGGGACTTGTCGAGCCAGCTGGAACTGGCTGCCATGTGGGCGAGGACCATTCTCCTGTCCTTCCCCACTTTGTTGTTGGCCTCCAGATCTCTCAGCTGAGGCACTATATTGCTGTTGAGCGTGATGGTATCTGCATGAGCAGATACTGTAGGTACTCACGCCTTGGGACCTGGTTTGGACTTTTCTCCTTCTTTCTGGGTTAGGTGATGAAAACGGCTTCAACATTCCCACGGTAACGCTGTGCCCTGAAGTTGCCAAATACCTGGACTTGCCACTGGCTGTGCTGGCCCTGGAGCAACCTCGGGACATGGATGGAGTGGCCAAGCGGCTCTTCTGCGATGCCTACATGTACATGTACCAGAGCAAGAAGATGGCACTTTACAAATGACACTGCCTTGGGCTGGTGCTGCAGAGCAGCGAGGCGTTGGAAACGTGAGCTTGGATCAACTCTGCAGCTCGTAATCGGCGAAAGCAGCCGAGTCTGGGCACACCAAGCTTGCGCTTCTGCCTCTTCTTACCTCTTCCAGTGTCTGGTATCAAACTGTCCACGTCAGCCTGTCTGGGTTTGTTAAATCCTGTACCTGGCCTTATGGAGCGATAGTTTGTACTTCCACCAGACCTGGACTCTGAATTATTTACACTCAAATTCATTCTCATTTCCTACCTTCCCTTTCCACCCTCCTTCCTCCCCAGGCACTCCGCAGCTCTGCCCTACCTCAGAGTCCTCCCCAACATCCTTTTCTCCCTTCCAGCCCTCCCCTCCAAAGCCGAGGACCAGCATCTAATCCAAACATGACCAGATATCCTCAGGTTTGCAAAGAGCACAAGAAAACCACAGCCTCGCCCTCATGTGGACTTGCGGAGTGAGAAAACCAGGAGGTGTGAGCTGCACCAGTGTGGTTAAGAGAGGGATCAGGATGAGGGTTTTTCTTGAGGTCTGGGATGTGACCCCACACATAAAGCTGGGTCCCTGAATTGTCTGCACTTCCCTTATCCAGCACTAATACTCTGGTACTTTCACCCACTATCCCTTATTTTCAACCATGAGATTAACTGGGTGTCTTGAGCTGCAAATATGCTTTAAAAATATGTATTTTTGTAAGAACGAAACTGGAAGAAAGATGGAGCAGAGGAACAGCATGTGAGCTCGTTATGCTCCCTCTTTTTTGCAAAGTCTGCACTATTGCTACATGGTTGGGTGGTTTAACCTCACTTTTAGCACTTTCTGTCTCATCGTTGCATCCACTTCTGAGATCTGTGCCAAAGCCCAATAACAATTCCAAGGGCAAAAATGGAAAAAAAATGAGCACTCTTGGATTTTCTGCTGTGACTGCAGTAAGGTTTAGGGTCTCTGGTGGGAACTGGTATTCCTTAAATTAAATAAATTTGCAAAGTGGGGGTTCTCTGCCATTAAACATATGCTGTTGTGGGAGCAGGAAGCTGTTACAGGAGTCAGTGCTATGAACTGGGTTGCCCACATTCCAGATTGCACTGTCAGGACACCAAAACCTTGAGGAATGCATCCAGGAGCCCCAGATGTGCAGCTGTAACCTTCCTCCTCCTCTTTTTTCCTCTTTAATGCAGGGTGCAGTAAGTAATATGTAGCCTGTAGCTTTATATCAGTCCTGTCAGCTTGGGCCATGCGCTACATGTGGTTTAGGATCTTTTTTTTGCTGACAGCAGGGTTGTGATGCTAATGGGGATCTCAACAGCTTAATGGCTGTATTTGGCTTTCTGGTGTGTCCCTTATTTCTCTATGTGGTGGCTACAAAGGATGGCTGGTGTGTAATGACCCCAGATGATTGTTAACACAGTTAATGTTTTGAGAGTATTGCTGTCCAATTCAGCTTCCAAATGTCCTCGCTGAGCACTTGGGGCTCAACACCAAGTTGACCACAAGGCAGCAATGTGTCTTCATGGTAGAGAAGGCGAACAATGGTTCTGGGCTGCACTCAAAGTGTTGCCAGTAGGTCAAAGGAGGGGATCCTTCCCATCTGCCTGGAGTACTGGATCCAGTTTGAGCTTCCCGGTACAAGAGGGATGAAGACGGTCCTGTCTAGGGGCAGGAGAGGTGGTGGCAGATCTAGCAACGGATCATCCTGAGGATGGGTTTACGCTGCTCCTGCTCGTGAGCTGACTTAGTGATCTCTGGCTGATCCTCTGTGGCTGTGGAGAGGGCTGAGGGGCTGGATGGTGCTGCTGTCTTGCTGTCTGTCTACTTAAAGTTGTTCATTCCTTCTCTCCTAAGAACTCAGGGCAAGTTCTACTCAGGTATGCTGGGGGTTGGGGTCTTGTATCTCTGGTGCTTCTGCTCTAAAAATGTAAGTTTTAATAGCAAACTGCTTTTGGGTTTTCCTGGATTTTTTTTCTCTGTTAAAATGCTAAGTGTGATACAGTGCCCACAGCTGGAGCATTGCAACGGGGACCTCTAGCCTCTTGGGTTTTTTTAGAAACAAAAGACCATCAGGCCATGCTTTGTTAAGCTCTTTTCATTTTTTTCCCCCATCAATATGTGTTGCAAAGATCTAAACAAGAGCTAAACCACTGCTGTTCCTGGGAGGCTGTGCAACACAGCTGCGGGGTTGGTGCCTGGGGATGTGCAGGTGCATCTCACCTGGGATTTCCCTCTTCCCCTCCCTTACTGCACCTTTCTGATGGGTGGCTCAATTCCAGGTCTGTGCATTCTACAAGCTCAGGGGAAAAGGATTTACTATCTCCCTGTTACAGATTTGGGCAGGATTAAGAGAAAATACACCTGTCTCGGAGAAGATTCAGTCTGTGCAGGTTTTTTTCCCATTCCATGCAACAACTTTTCTTGACCCTGTTTTGATAAAGCCTTCAAACCATCATTGCTTAGGCATGAGACCTACCCCCAGTGGAGCTACAAAGGGGTTTTCACTGGAATTAGGGTCATTAGGGCCACCCCCAGATCCTGCCATGGGTCAACACTTTCTTTTTCATTCCAACTTTATTCAGTCATAAACCATGAAGTGAAATGAAGGACGTTGAATTAAACATGGTGTGGCTGTAGCCATAGTGGCTAAAGGCCTTTATTTTGTGGGTTTTTTTGCTTAGGATGAAGCTAGTTGCGGGGGTTAGTGCCACACTGCTTCTATGAACATCAGGTTAGAGAGCATAGGCATCAGCCTGGAGCCGGCCTCCGTGTCCCAGGGAACGCATAGAAAATGGAAAGAGATGAAATGTGGCCAGAGAGCCAAAGCCTAGACTAGGAAGGGCAACGTCCATCTGCCACAGATGTCCCACAGGACGTGGGTTGGGGAATAGGCTCCACGGCAGGCACCTTCTTGTGCATTCAAGGCTTGGTCTCTAGTGCCACCGAGGAGCTTCGGCATGGGCTGCCACCAGTGAAGGTGCAGGGCTGGCACGGCCACCGAGGCAGGCAGTGCTGCCACAGCAGAAGGCACAGAGTTGGTAGGGCCACCGAGGCGGACAGGGAAGGACCGTTGCTTCCAGAGGACGCGGGGACAGCTGCCTCCCAGCTCTGCCTGCCCCATCCCTCTGTGCCCAGCTTTGCTACTGGGACCGCAGGGTGCTCTTCCAGTTCCTGCAGGGTCCTCGGATTAGCACCACGCAGCAGCAACGTCATTAGAACCATTAATTCCCAATTAGTCACTTCGTCTTCAAAAGAGTGCGGAAGAAGAGGTAGCCCCAAGCAGGGCTGTGCCCAGTGTGGGCTAGCGCAGTGTGGAGGGCAACTGGGACCACCTCACTGGGTGACCTGCCGCAGCTCGGTGAGGAGGTTGTGCAGCCTCTCCGTCACGGCCACCTGGCACCGGAGAGAGAAGGGACGGTGAGCATGCGCTCCCCGGGGGGACTGCAGCCCCATATCCGCGCGCCGCTGCAGCTCCGTGGTGCAGCCACCCTGGCTTTGCTCAGGCCACCGGAGCCGGGCAAGGTTCCCGGGTGTGTACCGATGGTGCCTGGCAAGCAGTGGACATACCGGGTAGGGCTGTGGCTCATGGAGTCGGCGGTGAGCGGGGCTGAGCAGGCTGAGAGACACCTGCGCATGGCTCCTCACTTCTGGCAAGCTGGGCAGCGGCTCACACACCTGCAGGGATGGAGATGCGTGATTATGTCCCATGTGGGGAGCCGGCCACCCAGCCCAAATCCCCAACGAGCCAGCTCCAGGTTGGACTCCAATGCCACTGCGTCCAGGGTGGCACTTTTTGGGGCAGGGAACAGCTCAGATGCAAGGAAACATTGGGGTTTAACCCTTTGATCCTGACATTACTGCCAAGACACCACCACCCTGGCTTGCTCCTTCACCCAACATGGGAGGAGGACACACCAGCACCAGAAGGCAGAGCCGCCCCTGACCTGGCCATCTCTGAAGTACGTGCGATGGAGGGGCTCCACAGTGGTGGGTACAACCTTGCTGGTCTCACCAAGCCGCCCCAGGACACGGATCGCCAGCTCCTGTCCTGCGCTGGGCGAGGGCTCCTCCTCCAGGGCCATGAGGTCCATGAAGGGGTGACCTGCAGGAGTGCCAGGTTAAGGGCCAGTGGGGGACATCGGGGATGCAGGTCAACAGGGCAGCACCATGGCAAGGGTGTCCCAACTCACCAGCAGCATCATAGAGCCGATAGATTGTCTTAATCCCTGGGATCGTCATCTTCTCCTCATCTTCTGTGAGCTTCATGCGTGGGGAGCCATTGACCTCCACCAGCTGTAGGACAAAGAGGTGAAGAGGATGGACATCTTATTTTTGTCACATGCACAAGCTCATGCCAGTGCTGAAGACCATGCCGAGCTCTGTGTTCTCTATGTGTGGCCCCGCGTGCTGGGAAGACTGCTGATGCAAACCAACTGAATAAATCATAAAAAAAAATAATCCCCCAAAGTTGGACATCCTGCCTCCTCCTGCTTGCAAGCTTCTTGTTACAGTAGTCTCATGAACACTATTTGCAAGGAGCCCATAGCTGGTGGGATTGAGTGCCCCCTCAGCAAATTTGCAGGTAACACCAGCCGAGTGGTGCAGTTGATTCCCTTGAGGGAAGGGATGCCATCCAGAGGGACCTTGACAGGCTGGAGAACAGGGCCCAGGTGAACTTCATGAAGTTCAAGAAGGCCAAGTGCAAGGTCCTGCACCTGGGTTGGCACAATCCCCAGTATCAACGCAGACTGGGGATCGAGGGATTGAGAGCAGCCCTGCAAAGAAGGACTTGGGGGTATTAAGGGGTGAAAAATAGGACATGAGCCAGCAATGGGCACTCACAGCCCAGAAAGCCAACCGTATCCTGGGCTGCATCCAGAGCAGTGTGACCAGCAGGTCAAGGGAGGGGATTCTGCCCCTCTGCTCCGACCAGGTGAGACCCCCCCTGGAGCACTGCGTCCAGCTCTGGGGTCCCCAGTACAAGACAGACATGGACCTGTTGGATCAGGTCCAGAGGAGGGCCAGGAAAACGATCAGCCTGCTGGAACACCTCTGCTATGGAGAAAGGCTGAGAGAGTTGGGGTTGTTCAACCTGGAGAAGAAAAGGCTCCAGGGAGACCTTCTTGTGGCCTTTCAATATAGAAAGGGGGCTTCTAAGAAAGACAGAGAATTTTTACCAAGGCCTGTAGTGACCAGATAAGGGGTAATGGTTTTAAACTGAAAGGTTAGATACAGATTGGCTGTAAAGAAGAAATTTGTTAAGATGAGGGCGGTGAGGCACTGGACCAGGTTGCCCAGAGAAGTCGTGGATGCCCCATCCCTGGAAAGTGTTCAAGGCCAGGTTGGATGGGGCTTTGAGCAACCTGGTCTAGTGGAAGATGTCCTTGTCCATGCATGGCAGGGAGGTTGGACGGGATGATCTTCAAAGGTCCCTTCAGACCCAAACCATTCAATGATTTGATGATATTGGCCTCGCAGCTTTGTCCCTTAGGGCTGGATCCCCCTTTGCTGCGCAGCCCCAGCCATGCAAAGCCTGGGAGAAGCCAAGGAGCCCCGTGCCCCACAAGCCAAGCAAGGCAGAGAGCTGCTGCCACCACTACCTTGTAAACACAGCCCAGCGATGGCTGCAGGGGACATGTCACCAGGTTCGTCCCGACGCCGATCATATCAATCTCGCTCCCCTGGTGCAGCAGAGAAGACAGCGGCCATCAACAGCCCAGCCCTACCACTGGTTTTTAAGCCCAGGCCAAAACCAGAGCCACCGGGCAGGTCAGAGGATGCTCTGCCCAAAGGTGCCCGGTTTCTGTCTGTCCATCTGTCCCACCCAAAAGCCTTTTTTTTTTTTTTCCCAGCCTAGAAACTCTTCTCTGTTCTCACCCAGGGAGAAAGTCCCAGATGACTCTCACGTCCACCCCACACACCCCAAAACCTCAGCAGCACCAGCAAAAGCCAAGGTAACGTCTCAGACACGACAACAGCTACCTCACCTCCCGGATGAACTCCTCCAGGCTCTGCTCGCTGATGTCGTTGCTGACGGCGATGGGGATGGTCTCAAACCAGGGCACCTGGAAGCTGGCGAGGGGCAGGAGAGTGAGCAAGGGAGGGGGGGGAGGGGGTTGGGGGGGGGGGGAGGGACCCATGACTCTGCTTGCAGCATCCCCCCCAAGCCACGAGGGCTCCCACCCCAGCAGGAGGAGGTGCTGGGTGCCCAAGGTGGGGAAGCCGGGGACCGGTGGCAGCCAAGCCAGGCTTGGTGGGGGAACTCACTGAGCACCGCAGGCTCGGAACACTTGGCGGATCTCCTTGGACTGCTGGGCCAGGTCCCCGCTGTCCAGGCGTACCCCGACGGCCCGGTACCCCAGTTGGTGCAGGGCCAGCGCCACGGCGCAGAAGTTCGGCAAGCCGCTCCTGGCACGGGCGAGGAGAGGGTTAGCGTCCCTTGTCTGGTGGGACAGGGACCCAGGGCAGATCCAAGCCCTGCATCAGGCAACAGCGAAGCATGGGAATGCTGCCAGGGGGAAACGTCCCTGCTTCAACGCCACCAAGCGAGGAGGGATGCACCGCCCCCCCCTCCGCCACAGTGGCAAAGCCGCCCCGTGGTGGGGACAGACCTGGCATTCTCACCTCCTGACGCAGTACGTGTCCAGCAGCCCCTGGAAGTCATGCGGGAAGGAGATGGCGTAGGACACGAAGGCGGCCAGCTCGCCCCGGTTCGTTTTCTCGGGGGGGATCTGCAGCAGCTCACATACCTGCTGCAGCAACGACTTGGCCAGGGCCGGGAGATCCACCGGCTCTCCTCCTGCCAGCGGCAGCAGCTCCTGCCCGAAGGACATGGGCTTTGCACACCCCGTGGCATCCTCCACGGCGCCGGGAGCGCGGCCACGGGCAGAGCATCCCATCCCCATCCCCTGCCCGCGGTGACGCTCACCCGGGGCTGCACCTCCTCCAGCGAGGTGAAGGACATAACGAAGGAGTGGGCGATAGTGCCGCGTACTGGGATGCCATAGAGCTTCCCCGCCAAGACATTGCTGGTGCAGTCGAAGCCTGCGAGGAGGGACAGGGGACACATACGGGTGACGGCGCGGCCGCGGTGCCGTGGGGCACCACAGGGCAGCACTCACCCCCAATGTAGGAGTACTTGGAGGCCGAAAGAGCACCGTCCGGCCCCTGAGCGCGACGGAGCCCGATCTCCATCAGCTTCATATCCGGACCGGCAAGGAATCGGAAGCGAGCGGCGTTTGTGGCCACCAGGCTGGGGGAGGAAGGGACAGGTCATGTCAAGCCGGGCTGAGCATGGAGCCAGCACACAGCTAAGGGTAGCGGGGGGCTCCGGGACCCTCTCCGCTCGACCGCAGCTGATGCGCGGAGTCGTGGCAGGGACCACCGTGGGACTTGGAGGGTTTGGCACAGTGGAGACCGATGTGGTCCCCGGCAGCTGGGGGACCAGAGCAGGACATGTCCCTACCTGGCGTAGTTGACCAGGCACAGCAACATGGTCTCCAGCAGCTGCACCACCAGCAGCGGCCCCTTCACCTGCAGGAACGGCACCTGTGGGGGACAGCCAGGCGGTGACATCCCCGTCCTCCCCGGGGACGTGGGAGCCAACAGTCCCGCAGCCCCTCCAAAGCAGGGGAGGGTACCGAGCGCGTCCCACCCTGGCGAAGACGACAGAGCCCTCCGGCACGGCGGAGACGGTCACCTCCGAGGCGTCCAGGGTGGCCAGGTAATCGAAGAAGGCGTCCTCCGTGGTGCTGGGCAGGACGGAGCGCAGGTAGGCGACGTCTGCAAGGGCAGAGCTCAGTGGGAACTGGGGCCGGTGGTCCCCCTGCGACACAGGTCGGGCTGGAGGGACCGAACCTCCCGTGCCAGGGACAGGTGATGGCTTGCGGGTGGGGGGCTCCTCACTTCACCCTCCACCCCAGAGAGAGAGAGAGACGGGGTGAGGTAGGGGCTACCCCAGCCCTGGGAAGGTACCGTGGTCCCCTCTGAGGGTCCGTCCATGGGAGCACTGTCCTCCTGGAGGGTGTCCCCCAAGCTTCCCTTGAGGGTCCGTCCATGGGAGAACTGTCCCAGAGGGTGTCCCTCCAGTTTCCCTGAGGGTACATCCATGGGAGAACTGTCCTCCTGGAGGGTGTTCCCCAAGTTTCCCTTGAGGGTCCATCCATAGAACTGTCCCGGAGAGTGTCCCCCAAGTTACCCTTGAGGGTCCATCCATGGGAGTACTGTCCCAGAGGGTGTCCCCCAAGTTTCCCTGAGGGTCCGTCCGTGGGAGCACTGCCCTGAAGGGTGTCCCCCAAGTTTCCCTGAGGGCTGGCCACGTGTCCCCCCCCTCCATCCCCTCTCAGAGATCTCCCTGTCCCCCTTCAGTCCCCCTGCGGGGGGGTTCCCTTGTCCCCCAGGTCCCCCCCAAGCGCTGTCTCTCCCCCCCACCAAGGTCCCCTCGAAGGACTCCCGGGGGTCCCCTCTCCCCGTGTCCCCCCCCCACACACCCACCGGCGGCGGAGAAGCGGAAAGCGCGAAG